TAAGGTCTAAGGTTTAGGGGTTTAGGGTTTAAGGTTTAGGGGGGGTTTAGGGGTTAGGGTTTAGGGTTTCGTGTCTAGTGCTTTAACAAGCAGTACACTAGGAAGGCCACTATCAAGACCAGGAGCGAGAGCAACAGGGGAGCGGTAGTGATAGTAGTAGTCGTCGTCGTCTCAGTTGCGGCCATAGTCGCATTCCCGGTAATACTAGCAATAGGACGAGGAACTTGAGCAGGAAGAGGAGGAAGCAAGAGTCTGTTTTCGGTACTTTTGCTGTTGTCAAATACCCTGACAGTTCTTAGAACCGGCCTCCTGCCCTCACGAACCGGATATCCCGCAATCTCTAGATCCGAAAAAGTCGGGCCCAGACCAGAAATCCAAAACTGACCAAGGAAGACCATGTCTGAATGCTCATTATTATACTTATACTCAACTGGTTTCTACTAGGAATTGAGAGTCACAACTATATAGCACTCCCGACCGCAGCATACCCAAACCTCAGCGAGGTTTAGGGTTTATGGTACTGGAACTCGGGCTTGAGAGTGTATACAAACAACCAAAACTGGTGAACCTGAAGAAATTCTTTTGCCACTTCTTCAGGCCCCCTACCTTCCTTAAAAGGGTTTAGGGTTTAGGGGGCTTTGGGCTTTGGGGCTAACTCCGAGCCAAGTCTCTGTACATCGGCGTCATAGTTCAACAGCCTGAAATGTGCCATCTGCAGTGGGGGCTGTAGGGTTTTGGCAACTTCAGTCAGTCAATAGCCCTAAACCCTAAACCCTACATAAACTCCTTTGTGTACAACCGAAGCAACGTCCAGCTCATATGCAGCCCTGAGACAACTCTGAAAGTCCCCAAGGTTAAGTAAGTTTACCCCTCGGTTGTAGGTCCTTTTGTTGGGATTACCTTATAAACAACCTAAATGTGAATCGTAAAAAGGAACTACAATGGAGCCCATAGTTAGTGTTCATGTTCAGGCAGGGCTTAGGTATTCATCTACAATGCGGGTTTAGGGCTTGAGGGCTAGAGTGCGAAACCCGATGCCCACACAGTACTGCTGCAGACTGTACTGAGGGCGGCGGTGCCATTTCAGGCAGTGAATAAGTCTGAGTAAGTGCGGAGCAGTGTTACTACACAGCTTTATGCCTCCCGTCCGGCTCGGCGTATGCCTCACTGCCACACCTGGCACTGCATGAGCCCACGGAACCAAGCCTCAACTAAGATCCAAACACTACAGGCCAAAACCCAAATCCTTGAACCCCCCACAAAACCAAGCCGTTTCAGCAGCTTGCCAACCCCATACAAGCCGCAGTAAGTCCTACAAGCACAACATGCATTAACACACAAGTGCACCCTACAAGAACCAGGATAAACTAAGCATGAAACTCTTTACACCTGGCACTTACTCAAATACTTTATGCAATCATACAACCCTAAACCCTAAACCCGAAACCTTTGCCCTACGAAGGGAAAGTCCTTCTATACTCCCACAGAGCGCTATAAACGGCGTGCCCGAACAAACAACAACGCCCATGCACCCTCGGAGGCCTGATATGGGTAGTTCTCTAAATTGGGGTCCTTTTTATAAAGGGTGCCGTACTATTTTTGGGACCCAAAAAAGGAGCCTAATTCAGAGAACTTCCCATATGTAACCGAATATAACCCTCCCAGAAAGCTCTTAGAGTCAACATACAGCTTCTGAAACCCCCGGTTCAACACCCAAACATAAAAAGCAAGTCAACTACGCCTAACTAAATCCACCGAGATTACAGGCTATCCCTCATAAAAACCCTCACACATGTCCCAAATACCCCGAAACATCAACCCTGGAAAAACCCTGAGCCAGATATGACACCCTTAAGCCCTCGACCCTAAATCCAACCCTAAACCCCAGACCCCCAAACCCTAAATCCCTAAACCTAAACATGTTTTAAACCCTAAATCCCCAATCCCTAAACCCCAAATCCCTAATCCCCTTCCCCCCCCTCCCGAATTCGAGGTCCAGGTGCGTGCCCACCATATCGACGTCCGCCTGCTCCACGGCGAGGCTGAGGGCTGTCTTCCCTGCCCAGAGAACCCGATTTAGGGCTTCATTTAGGGTTAGAGTTTTAGGGTTTTACGACTTCGGGTGTAGGGTTTAGGGGTTCTTTGCGGTTAGGGTTTTAGTATTTAGGGTCTAGGGCTTAGAATTTAAAATTTAGGATTTAGGGTTTAGGAAGTATGTTTAGAGCGGCCTTCAGGACTAGGATGGGGCTTTGGGATATAGATAATGTATCATTCGGGGGACATAAAGGACTCCTCTTCCCTGCCCAGAGAGAGTGGTTGGGGTTTTAGGATTTAGGGGTTTAGAGTCTAAGTCTTAAGGGTATAGTATACTTAGCTATACTAGCCAGAAATATGCCCAGAAAGCCCACTGTTGTATAAGTCGTTTAGGGCTTTAGAGTTTAAGGTATAGGGTCTCGTCCCTGCCCAGAGAGCCCACTATTTATTTTAGGGGGCTTCAAACGTAGGATAGGGTTTTGTGGAACATTATACCATAAAAAAGTCCAGAGAGGCAACTGTTATATAGGCGCTAGAGTTAAGGGGTTTAGGGTTTGCGGGTTTAGGGGTTTGAGGCATCAAAGGTTTGGGGCTTCAGGAGTTTAGGTTTATTATTGGTATATCCTTCGAGGAAAGGAACTGCTTACATAATGCAGGGTTCCGCATCATGACTTAAAGAATAGACTCCTCAAAGCTGCATCGGGCTTCGTACTCTGATCTCAAGAGCCTTCCGCATATCCTAGAGTCAGTGTAAGAATATTCTGCAATGCCTTTTGCCTGCGGCCCGACCAAAAGTGGGAGCATAGGGCCCAAGTCCCAGAGCACACGTAACTCGAAAGCGGCTTAAGGCTGCAAGTAAGGGTCCTGAGGTTTAATGTAGGGGCCTTTATAATT